TTTATATCTGTCTGCGGAGACGGACAACAGCAATGAATTCATTTCTTTTGGATCTCTTTTTAATTATATAATTATTTAAATTATATTTATTGAAAAGAAAAACTAAAGTGAAGGGAGTTCAAGAATGGCGAATGTTTGTCTGCACGGGCTGTACGTACACTTTGTAGATAATTGATTAGCAGCTAAGAGGAAACGAAGTGAAGAGGTGAATAAAGTATAAGTTTAAACATTGTAGCGGAACTCAGTAAATAAAATGCTATTTAAATCTTTTTAAATGAAAATTAAACGTTATAAAATGAAATTTTAATTAATTTCTTTCAGTTTACCCGACTTTCGCCATTGAACAGCGTTGGCTGCTGTTGAAAAGAGAGGTTGGTGTTGAGTGTTTTAGGTGAGAGAGAGCTTATTTTTCATCGTTTTTCTTGTATTTTTGTGTTATAAAGGTTAATTTCGTTTAAGATTTAATCTGTAGATTAATATGAATCATTATTTATCTTTTTTTCCCTCGAATTTGCGTAAAACATACACAGACGGGAGGCAGCTGGAGGCACTGACGACTCTGAGGTGTCTGTACACCTGCTCTCTGGGCGTTTGTTTGTCTGTGTGGGTTTATCATTGTATATTTATGAGTTTGAATTAAAAACCAAAGAATATATGTAAATATCTTTTTAAGTTGCTGTTATTTATTCGTTATTACTGCAAGCAAACACTCCAGCTGTACATACACACCACCGCTGCCGGCTCTTACCTCCACTGTTCTTCGTCTCTTTATTTCGCCGTTTAAATATGTAAATATATTTCTTTTTTTGCAGTTTTAACTTTATTATATATATTGTTTTACTTAAAAGAATTCCCTTCGTCAGCCTTATACACATACATCCCTCTTTTGTGTGTCTTCTCGCCGTTTGAATTGCAGTGTGCGGTGTACATACACCACAAAAAAACTATATATTTAATTATATTTCTTCTTTCTTCTTAATGTCTCCTGAAGCCGGTGCTGCCCTTAAAGAGGCAAGACCCCTTCTTTTCACGCTGAGTCCGGTGTGAAGCTTAGAACGACATGTCCAGTGCTGGCAGCAGCAGCAACAGCAGCAGCAGCAGCAGCAGCATCAGCAGCATCAGCAGCAGCAAGTTGTAGGCTTCACTAGTTGCTGCTGCTTTTGCTGCCTCTGCTGCTGCTGCTGCTGCTTTGGGAAGCAAAGAGGAACAGCTGTTTGTATTCTCTTCAACTGCAAATGGCTTCAGTTAAAGCAACGCGCCTCACCGTAGGCACTCCTGCTGCTGCTGAAAGCAGCAGCAACAGCAGCAGCAGCAGCAGCAACAGTAGCAGCAGCAGCAGCATACCAGCTTTCTGCAGAGAAACCCTGGGAGAACCCCGAAAGATATTCAACATCAACGACTACTATGAACTGGGCCGCAAACTCGGATCAGGATAGTGAGTGTTTAGGGTTTAGGGTTTAGGGTTTGGGGTTTAGGGTTTAGGGTTTAGGGTTTAGTACTGCAAGGGCTTATTATCTACCACTTCTTCTCCATATGGGGGGTTTAGGGCGTCTCTTGCGCTCTATAAGGAGGGTTTAGGGCTTAGGGTTTAGGGTTTAGGGTTTAGGGTTTAGGGTTTAGGGTTTAGGATTTAGGGTTTGATGTGTGTTCAGCACTGCGAGTGTTTATGAGGCTCGCTGTCGGAGGACTGGACGACTGCTTGCAGTAAAAAACATCAATAAAGCAAGACAAAGGTTTGTTGTCTTTGTTTATTTATTTATTTGTTCTATTTATTTATTTATTTATCTGTTTATTTATTTGTTTTATTTATTTATTTATCTGTTGATTATTTACCTGTTTATTTATTTGTTTGTTTTGTCTTTTTTTGTTCTTTGTTTTGTTTGTTTTGTTTGTTTATTTCTTTATTTCTTTATTTATTTATACATTGATGAGAACAGCAGATAACTCCTATAAATATAAATAACAAAATAATTATTTATAATAAATAAATAATAATATATTAATATTATTAATATTATATTATTTTACTTATATTATATTGTACATTACATTACATCACATTATATTACATTATATTATATTATATTATATTACATTATATTATATTATATTATATTATTTATTTATTTATTTGTTTATAGATTAATAACAACAGAAGAAAACTATCGCTTGGTTTACTCCGCTCTCTCGCGGCTGCCACCGCATCGACATTTGCTGCTGCCTCCTGTTGCTGTGATGGAGACAAATACTCACTTCTATATTGTAAGCACTTGTGCTGCTGCTGCTGCTGCTCTTGCTGCTGCTGCTCCTGTTCTTGTTGCTACTCTTGCTGCGGTTGCTGCTGCTCTTGCTGCTGCTGCTGCGGTTGCTGCTTCTGCTGCTGCTGCTACTCTTGCTGCGGTTGCTGCTGCTGTTACTCTTGTTGCTTCTGCTGCTGCTCTTGCTGCGGTTGCTGCTCTTGCTGCGATTGCTGCTGCTGCTACTCTTGCTGCTTCTGCTGCTGCTGTTACTCCTGTTGCTTCTGCTGCTGCTGCTACTCTTGCTGCTGCTCTTGCTGCGATTGCTGCTGCGGCTACTCTTGCTGCTCCTCTTGCTGCGGTTGCTGCTACTCTTGCTGTTGTTTTTGCTGTTGCTGTTGATGCTGGTTGAAGGCTTTATAGCGTCAAGAGATGGTGTACTAGAGCATACTGTGCCTTATAACAAAAAAAACCCTAGAGTTTAGGGTTTATCACTTATCCCTTAGGGTTTAGGGTTTAGGGTTTAGGGTTTAGGGTTTGTGTGCAGGTGATGGAGTTATGCAAGGGTCGCGACTTGGTGGATTTTGTTTTGCGTTTTCCTGCGGGGGGGATTTCAATATCTGCTTGTCGTCGATTGCTGCAGCAGCTTCTCTTGGCTGTTAACTTTCTTCATTCTTTTGATGTGAGGGTTTATCAGGGTTTGCTACGGTTTATTAGGGTTTATTAGGGTTTATGAGGATTTATCAGGGTTTATTAGCGTTTATTAGGGTTTATTAGGGTTTATTAGGGTTTATTAGGGTTTATTAGGATTTACTAGGGTTTATTAGGGTTTATTGTTCAGGGTTTGTGAGGGTTTATTAGGGTTTTCTGAGGTTTGTCAGGGTTTATTGCTTGGGGTTTATCAGGGTTTCTTAGGGGTTTAGGGTTTACTAGGGTTTGTTAGGGTTTATGAGGGATCATTAGGGTTTATGAGGGTTTATGAGGGTTTATTAGGGTTTAGGGTTTCGAGGCTGTTTTTTAGGGTTTTTCAGGGCTCAGTTTTGTTGTTAGGGTTTGTTAGGGTTTATGATTATTGTTAGTGTTTATAATTAGGGGTTATTGTTTAGAGTTTATTATGTAGGGTTTAGGGTTTGCTGCTAATAGTCCGTTGCTTTGGAATTAGGGTTTAGTGATAAGGGTTTAGGGTTTAGGGTTTAGGGTTTAGGGTTTAGGGTTTAGGGTTTAGGGTTTGTTTTGCAGATACTGCATCGCGATATAAAGTTAGACAACATTGTCTTTCGCGGCGAAGCAAAAGCAGCAGCAGCAGCAGCAGCAACAGGAACAGCAGCAGCAACATCAGCAGCAAATGAAGAAGACCCTGGTGATGTGGTGCTGCTAGACTTTGATATGTGTTTGCTGCTGCAGCAGCAGCAGCAGCAGAAGCAGCAGCAGCAGCAGCAGCAGAAGCAGCAAGAGTCTGCTGAAGTTGCTGTCGTAGGAACGAGAGAATATATGGTGAACGCCTGCATCTCTCATTTGTTTATTTTTAATTATTTATATTTATATTTATTTATATTTTTATTTATTTATATTTATATTTATATTATTTATTTATTTATTATTAGAGGGTTTTCTCCTCCATCTTAAATAACCCGTCTATAAATATGCGTCTTTATGTATATGCATATAATATATATATATATATATATATATATATATGTATATATATTTAGTTGTATATATACATATATATATTATCTGTTTGTTTTTCTTTGAACAATAATCGGTTTAAGATGTAAGAGTGTTTATTGCTTAGCATTTAAGACATTACATAGTTCATTCTTAACGGCTGAAGGTTTAGGGTTTAGGGTTTAGGGTTTGTGGTTTGCAGGCGCCGGAGTGTTTTTCGGGTCAGTACAGCCGAGCTTCTGACATGTGGAGTGTTGGCGTTGTTTTATTTGTTTTATTAGACGGACATTTCCCTTTTGATGTAAATGAATTAGGAGGTGCAGCAGCAGCAGCAGCAGCAGCAGAACCAGCAGCAGCAGCAGCAGCAGCAGCAGCAGCAACACCAGCAGCACCAGCAACACAAGCAGCAGCAGCTACAGACCGTTCTCATCACCACCACCACCCTCTTCACCCCCACAACCACAACCAGCAGCAGCAGCAGCAGCAGCAGCAGCAGCAAATAAGCAGCAGAGCGATTCGTCGTTTGCTGAAGCGCGAGGTCTGCTTCTTCTCTGGTCTTCGCACTCGCGACCCTCTCGCTGTTCATCTTATCGAAGCGCTGCTCTCCTTTGACCCCAAAACCCGCATGCAAACAGGTATCCTTTGCTGCTAGGGTTTGCTGCTACCCTTTGCTGCTAGGGTTTGCTGCTACCCTTTGCTGCTGGGGTTTGCTGCTACCCTTTGCTGCTAGGGTTTGCTTCTAGGGTTTGTTATTAGGGTTTATTAGGGTTTGTTATTAGGGTGTATTAGGGTTTATTAGGGTTTATGAGGCTTTATGAGGGTTTATTAGGGTTTAGGGTTTTAGGGCTTTAGGGTTTAGGGTTTAGGGTTGCTGCTGATGCTGCTGCTGTTGCTGCTGCAGCTTTTGAGGCTCTGCATCATCCCTGGCTGCTGCCTGTCCCATCTACTCTGTCGCTGCAGCAGCAGCAGCAACAGCAGCAGCAACAACAACAGCAGCAGCAGCAGACAGCCGGCGGTCAACTGCAGCCGTGCGTCCCAGCAACAGCAGCAGCAGCAGCAGCAGCAGCAGCACTGACACCAACGGAAGCATACCTCCGTCGAGAACGCTTTATTGCTGCACCAGCACGAGTCCAGCAGCAGCAGCAACTGCAGCAGCAGCAGCAGCAACTCCAGCAGCAGCAGCAGCAGTCGCAGGGCCCCTGGAGTTCGAAGCCAACTAACTTTTCCTTCTCGCGAGGAACAGGTAAAACGAAGCGCAGCAGCGACTGCAGCAGCAGCAACAGCAACAGCAGCAGCAGCTGCAGCAGCAGCTGCAGCAGCAGCTGCAGCAGCGATTTGATGGCGGCAGGTTTGTTTGTTTTTGTTTTTATTTATTTCAGGATATGCAGCAGAACAGTACTTCAAGCAACAGTTTGCCCAGCAGCAGCAGCAGCAACTGCAGCAGCAGGCTCGGCAGCAACGCACAGCAGCAACAGCAGCAGCAGCAACAGCAGCACCGAAAATTCTAAGGGAATCGAAGACACACCAGCAGCAGCAGCAGCAGCAGCAGCAGCAGTACCACCAGCAGCATCACCCCCACCACCACCACCACCAACAGCAGCAGCAGCAGCAGCAGCAGCAGCAGCAGGATCAGAGGTTCTTTTTAGGAGGAAATCAACACAGCGGTCCTACTGCCCGCGACTATCACCTGCAGCGTTTGCTTCCTTCTATTCACACGCAGCAACAGCAGCAGCAACAGCAGCAGCTGCAGCAGCAGAGGCAGCAGCAGCAACAGCGGCAACAGCAACTACAGGAGCAGCAGCGTCAACAGCAACTTCAGGAGCAGCAGCGGCAGCAACAACTGCAAGAGCAGCTGCTGCAGCAGAAGCAGCAAGAGCAGCTGCTGTTGCAGCAGCAGCAGGAACAGCTGTTGCAGCAGCAGCAGGAGCAGCTGCTGCAGCAGCAGCAGGAGAAACGCTGCAGCATTCATTATGGTTATTCTTCCCTCAGGCAAAGCATTGATATATCGTGCGTCTCCTCTAAACCCTAAACCCTAAACCCTTTTTGTTGCTATAAGAAAGTGTTTTACGCGTCTGCATGCATTTTGCCTTTCGTCTTGCTGCTGCAACAAACCGCCCCCCGAGTTTACGGCTTAGGGTTTAGGGTTTAGGGTTTAGGGTTTAAGGTTTAGGGTTTAGGGTTTAGGGTTTGTGAGTGCAGCTCCATCGCCAGCACCCGTCTGCCCTCGTCGCCGCCTCCCTCCGCCCACTTAGACGAATTCAAGCTGCAAGATACACCACCAACAGCAGCAGCAGCAGCAGCAGCAGCAGCACCAACAGCAGCACCAACAGCAGCAGGAGCTGCTGCTGCTGCTGCGTCTAACGCTGCACTGCCCACTGCAGCACGGGTAGCAACGGCATCCGCAGCACCCACAGCAGCAACAACAACAGCAACAACAGCAGCAGCAGCAGCAGCAGCACGTTGCAGTTGCTGCCCGACTTCAGGTGCCTCTTGCTGCAGCAAATCCACAACAGCAAAATTTGAGGCCCTCCCGCTGCGGCGAGGAGACTCTGCTGCTGCTCCAGCAGCTGCAGCAGCAGCAGCTGCTGCTGCTGGTGTACCTCACTGCCCGCAGCTGCATCAAGGGCTTTCTCTTTTGCAGCGGCACCAGCAGCAGCGGCAGCGGCAGCAACAGCAGCAGCAGCACCGTCCACAGCACCAGCAGCAGCAGCAGCAGCAGCAGCAGCAGCGGCTGACAGGGTCTCAACGAACGGTATCGCGTGCAGCGCCTCTAACAGGTGTCTCTTTAGTGCTGCAGCTGCAGCAGCGGCTGCAGCAGCAGCAGCAGCAGCAGCAACTCGCCCACCTGCAGACACGCCAGTTTCAGCTGCAGCAACTGCAGCAGCAGCTGCAGCAGCAGCAAACAATGCACCGCAGCACCGCCTCAGGGGGGCCTATACCTCTAGTAAGCAAAAACCCTCGCTTAGGTGTAGCTGCTGCTGCTTCTACCATACCTTGCAGCAGCAGCAGTAGCAGTAGCAGCAGCAGCAGCAGCAGCAACAGTAGTAGCAGCATCAGCAGCAGTAGGCACAGAGCCTAGCGAAGACACCCCACACAGCGCATGCATCAACACTTGCAAGGCCAGCAGCAAATGCAGCAGCAGCAGCAGCAAGAACTGTTGCTGTTGCTGCGGCAGCACTGCTGCAACAGCAGCGGCAAGAATTGTTACTGCAGCAGCAGCGCCTCTAGCAGCAGCACCTGCAGCAGCAGTAACATAATTGCTTTTTTGTGAATTTGGATTGACGGATCTGCCTATTCTCATATTAAGTAGTGTTTAGGGTTTAGTAGGGTTTAGGGTTTAGGGTTTAGGGTTTAGGGTTTAGGGTTTGTGTTGGCGCGTCTCTTGTTTTTGTGTCTTGTGTGTTGACTCTGTTCAATTCGTGCATTTGCTGCTGCTGCTAGCAATGCAGCAGCAGCAAATGCAACAGCAGCAGCAGCAGCAGCATAAATAGCAGCAGCAGCCTCCAGTTTCAGTGTGTTAAAAAGGTGTTTGGCGTCTCTTGCTGCACCTCCTAGTGATGCAGCAGCAGCAGCAGGAGCAGCAGCAAATAATGCTGCTTCTGCTGCTGCTGCTGCTGCTGCATTCGGGTGTATAGGCAGCTATCGATCTGACTGGTTTGAGGTGTATATACACCCCACACGTTTTATTGTGGGGAGGCGTCGTCTCCGACTTATTTTGTTTTCTTTACCTTCTTTCAATGTAGCAGCAACAGCAGGTGCAGCAGCAGCAGCAGCAGCTGCTGCAGCAGCCGTATTAGTAGGTGCAACGTCAGCAGTTGCTGCAGTAGTTGTGGTAGCAGCAGCAGCAGAAACAGCAGCAGCAGCAGCAGCAGCAGCAGCAGCAGGGAGACTCTTTGGCTTTTTGAAGAGCTTATAATAGAAGAAGCAGCAGAGACAGCAACAAATATATATGTGCGTATGTATATATATATTTATATATATATATATATATACATATAAATATATATATATATAGATGTCTATGTATTGCATGCACTATATATATATATATATATGCCTATACTAATGTTTTATCTAGATTTATAAATATATATATATTTATTTATTTATATATTTATTTATTTATTCATATATATTTATACATTTATAGACTTGCATATATTATTATATCTATTTGCTGCTTTGTGTGCAAGTAAAGAAAACTGAGTCTTCACTTCAGGTGTATGTACAGCACAACTGTGGTGTACGTACACTGCAGTTCGTCAGCAAACAAATAACTGCTGCTGCTGCTGCTGCTGCTGCAGGTATTGCAGCTGTTGCCACTGCTTTAGCGCCTCCAGTTTTTGCTGCAGCAGCAGCTGCTGCAGCAGCAGCAGCTGCTGCAGCAGCAGCAGCTGCTGCTGCTGTAGCTATTGCAGCTGTTGCAGCTGTTGCTGCTGTTGCAGCAGCTGCTGCAGTTTATTCCCACAGGCTTCGTGTGTTGCTGCTGTCGTCGTTAGATTCTGTTGAAGCATTTTCTTCTGCAGTCTCAGCAGCAGCAGCAGCAGTTTGCTGCTCTGTATCTGTTGCCTTCGCATCTTCTGCCTCTGCCTCAGCAGCAGCAGCATCAGCAGCAGCTTCTGCTGCTGATGCTGCTGCTGCTGCTTCATGTTGTGTCGCTGCCGCTTCTTCGTCAGGGCATGCACTCTTCTGAACAGCAGCAGCAACAGCAGCAGCAGCAACAGCAACAATAGCATAGACCAGGTAATAAGCATTAACAACAGCAGAAACAGCAGCAGCAACTGTGGCTGCAGCACCGCCACTAACAAGAAGAACAACAACAACAGCAGCAGCAGCAACCGCATCGGCAACAACAAGAACAGCAGCAGCTGCAGCAGCCACAACAGCAACAGCAGGAGCCACAGCCGAAGCAGCAGCAACAGCAGCAGCAGCAACAACAACAACACCAACAGCAGCAACAACAATAACAACAACAACAGCAGCAGCAACAGCAGCAGCAACAGCAGCAGCAACAGCAGCAGCAACAGCAACAACAGCAGCAGCAGAAGCAAAGGACCTGCTGTTGATGTTTATGTCTGCGTTTATTTTTAAAAGGCCCCAGCGGCGTTCTGACGATTGACTCCTCTATAATATATCTCCCGCAAGAAGACAAAGAAAAACAACAAAATTTATTTTTTAATGCATGCAACTCGCAAGATGAAGATGATGATGAAAACTCAGCCTCGCTAATGTCCATAGAGATGCTTGACTCTATAACGCAACAAACAAAATAATATATATAAATAAATATATAAATATATATATATAATAGTAATAAATTAAAAGAAATATGTAAATATATAAATATACATAGAGATGCTTGACTCTATAACGCAACAAATAAATAATATAAATATATATATATATATAAATATATATAATAGTAATAAATTAATAGTTATTAAAAGAAATATATAAATATATAAATATACATAGAAATGCTTGACTCTATAACGCAACAAATAAATAAAATATATAAATAAATATGTATAATAAGATTTAATTAATATTAATTAAATAAAATATATAAATATATAAATATAATAGAAATAAATTAATGTATAAATGAACACAGTAATAAAATATAAATAAAAACAAAAGAAATAAATTACTACGAAGTAAACAAATATACAAAATATACAAAATAAATATAATTTTAATTAATAAAAATAAATATACAAACAAATAACAGCAGAAAAAATTAACGACGCCATCACAACAACAACAAATTAAATTAAATTAAATTAAATTAAATTAAATTAAATTAAATTAAATTAAATTAAATT